TATATATATATATATATAATGTATATATATATGTATATATATATATATATATATACATTTATAAATACTCTATTATGGACTCTCTAAAGGTAACAAAAACTACATATGAATAAAGCATACATTTAACGAGCAATACATACATACAAACAAACTTAATACCCATAAAAGTTGAAAGTTAAATTAAAATATTATGATCAATAACTTAAAGTTCATTATGCAAGCATTGTAAAAGTATTGTATTTCCTTTAATTGACTAATCAATGTGTATACAAAAATTGTCGAATTCTTTATTGTGTTTAAATATCCTACGTAATACTTAATACATTAGCTATTGTTACAAATATATAAGTATTTACAAAGATGTATGTACATATATACCTAAATTATAAATATTTATTATAAAGAGTTTGAAAATGTTTAATAATCTTATTAAAGTAAATTGAATCCAAACTAAAATTCCAACAATTAGAATTACTCAAAATGGATTCGCCCATAAATATGTTGTTGTATTTGCAGCGGCAAAAAACATTCTAACAATTTCGAGGAATAGTGCGGAGTTGATAGTCCTTAGCCGGATCCGTTCCGGTTACTTAGACCCGACTGTCGTAGAGACGGGACATAACCGTATGGGTTAACAGAGCGCATTATTCCAGTTCTAGCAATTTACTAACTTAACATGTAAACCCCTGAAAGTGACAACTCCAGAACTCCAGTAACATTTAATATATCAAATAGAGCCAACTCTTCTACAAATACTTAGTCTTGCCACAAATTCAGTTAAAAAGAAAAAAGTGCCGTTATTCTTTATTATAATTTATTATATTATAAAATCGTATTGCATAATGACAAAATCTACGCAAAGACTTCCAAAGACGCAAAAAATGTTATTCCAATTCAATTATGTAATTCTCCTTTCAATGGAGAGGATCTTCCAGCCAGCCAACAATGACTTAAAAGCAATATTCCTCGTTTCATAACTCCAGATGATTGGCCGTCTGGAAGTCCAGATTTGAATCCATTGGACTATAGTTTGTGGTCAGCATTGGAGAACATGGCTAGTCGAATACTCCACAGCTATTTGGAGAATCCCAAAAAATCTTTGGTTCGAGCAGCGTCGTCAATACCAATAGAAATTGTACGTGCTGCTATTGATCAATGGTCGAATTGTTTGAGAGCTTATGTGAAAGCAAAAAGTGACCATATATTATATAATATATTTTATACATCATTTAATATATGCATTATTCAATAAAATTGACTTTATTAATAAATGTATTACAGTATAATTTTTATAACGGCCTGAACTGTATCCACTGTAATTTAAATAATAGTCTGCTTACACACTGCGAACGATAAAATTGCATTCGAGACACTAGTGCCGTAAATTCCTACTAATGTGTGTCCGTAGATCAACCAGTGGTTCGTAATTTAAGACCTTTCGATTGCTTCTTGCGTATCTTTGTCTTTACCCCAATTGATCCTAATAGCGATTTGATTCAATTATCGTTTATTTCATCGTTCGGTTACTATAATGAGTCGCCGTGGATTTCTAAAGGTATAGGATTAAGGATCTTTAAGTCAAGAAAACGGGAAAGAGGGGTGTGAGAACTAAATGTCCAGATGAAATTTAGCCCACACAACACATGAAGACGCACCCTGTTAAATAAAATCAACGCAACGAGTATTGGGCCGCAACGGGAAAATCACGCCGCTTTTAGCAACACACGCCATCCTAAAGCAACATGTTGCGACACAACAGTTAAATCACGCCACGCAAGCAACACAACGAGTATTGGCCTGCAACGGGAAAATCACGCCACTTCTAGCAACACACGCCATCCTAAGCATCATGTTGCGAACGGGCGAGCAAGCAACACACGGCTTGGCGGAAAGCAAGCAGGCCGATCAGCAGTCATTCAGGACAGGACTATGACAGCGAGCACAACGCTGGACGGGTGATCGGAGAATATCTTCTACGGTAGGACGCGAGCAGCGGTGGAATCGGGGTAAGCCTACGCGAGCGCTTGCAGAAACGTCCGGGCGTCGTCGCGGTAGCACTTACGAGCGGCAATTCACGCAGCGGTAGATTCGCTGTCGAGGTCATCATCGGAGCAGGACACGGAACGTAAGTCATCCCGGGACGCGTAGCACACCCAGAGCGCGACAGGGTAGTATACGCGATAGTATACTAACTATTCAACGGGAGCGCGGAAAGGCAGACGACGTTTTCCGGCGGTAAGGAGTGAATGTCTCGCAGTGAGTCGATCCTCTGGCAGGCATTTCACTACTTAACGTGCGAAGGCCGGAAGTCACGCGTGAAGTGGGTAGTGAGTCGATCCTCTGACCTGCTCCGCGCTTGGCATCGCGGCCGCTGTCACTGCCCTCCGTAATTCCGCGTGATAGTGACGCGCTAACGGGTTACGTGAACCACTAGCCTGTCGAAACGCTACCATCGGGTGACGCTCCTACAACGCGGATCTAGAGATTGTGTAATTGAAATTGGAATGAACGCCAGCATCGGGTGACGCTCCTACAACGTGGATCTAGAGATTGTGTAATTGAAAGTGGAATGAACGCCAGCATCGGGTGACGCTCCTACAACGTGGATCTAGAGATTGTGTAATTGAAAGTGGAATGAACGCCAGCATCGGGTGACGCTCCTACAACG